GGTGTCCCCAATGTCCCCAGGGTGTCCCACCCTCGCGGATGGCCGTGCAGGGCGCGCCCTCCTCGTGCTCCAGCCGGATTTCCTTCAGCGCCACCAGGTTCTCGGTCAGCTTGCTGCGGCCCTTGTACACCGTGGCGTACGTGCCCTGGGGACACAGTGGGGACATCAGCAGAGACATGGGGACATGGGGACATCGGGGACATGGGGACATCAGCAGGGACACTGTACACCGTGGCGTACGTGCCCTGGGGACACAGTGGGGACATCAGCAGAGACATGGGGACATCAGGGACATGGGGACATCGGGGACATCAGCAGGGACACTGTACACCGTGGCGTACGTGCCCTGGGGACACAGTGGGGACATCAGCAGGGGACAGGGGACATGGGGACATCGGGGACATGGGGACATCGGGGACACCTGCACACCATGGCATACGTGCCTTGGGGACAGGGGACATGGGGACATCAGCAGGGACATGGGGACATCAGGCACCGTGGCGTACGTGCCCTGGGGACACATTGGGGACATCAGCAGGGGACAGGGGACATGGGGACATCAGCAGGGACATCAGGGACACTGCACACTGTGGCGTACGTGCCCTGGGGACACAGTGGGGACATTGGGGACATGGGGACATCAGCAGGGACAGCAGGGCCATGGGGACATCAGCAGGGGACATGGGGACACCAGCAGGGACATGGAGACATCAGCAGGGACATCGGGGACATGGGGACATCAGCAGGGACATGAGGGACACTGCACACTGTGGCGTACGTGCCCTGGGACATGGGGACATCATCAGGGGACAGAGGGGACATCATCAGGGCCATGGGGACATCAGCAGGGACATGGGGACATCATCAGGGGACAGAGGGGACATCATCAGGGCCATGGGGACATCAGCAGGGACATGGGGACATCAGGGACACTGTACACCATGGCATACGTGCCCTGGGGACACGATGGGGACATTGGGGACATCATCAGGGGACACTGGGGACATCAGCAGGGACACTGGGGACACTGCAGACGGTGGCGTACGTGCCCTGAGGACAGAGGGGACACGTTGGGGACACTGGGGACATCAGCAGGGACGTTATCAGGGACACCTGCACACCGTGGTGTAGTGCCCTGGGGGACACGGAGATAACACAGGTGACACAGGTGACACAGGTGACACGGGTGACACACGGGTGACACAGGTGGCACACAGGTGACACACAGGTGACACACAGGTGACACAGGTGACACACAGGTGACACACGGGTGACACACAGGTGACACGGGTGACACACAGGTGACACACAGGTGACACAGGTGGCACACAGGTGGCACACAGGTGACACGGATGACACACAGGTGACACACGGGTGGCACACAGGTGACACAGGTGACACAGGTGACACACAGGTGACACAGGTGACACACAGGTGACACACGGGTGACACACAGATGACACAGGTGACACACAGGTGGCACACAGGTGACACGGGTGACACAGGTGGCACACAGGTGACACGGGTGACACACGGGTGACACACGGGTGACACACGGGTGACACGGGTGACACACAGGTGACACACGGGTGACACGGGTGACACGGATGACACACAGGTGACACACAGGTGGCACACAGGTGACACACAGGTGACACACAGGTGACACAGGTGACACGGGTGACACACAGGTGACACAGGTGACACAGGTGGCACAGGTGACACACAGGTGACACACAGGTGACACAGGTGACACAGGTGGCACACAGGTGACACACAGGTGACACGGATGGCACACAGGTGACACAGGTGACACAGGTGACACACAG